AAGTCCTCAACCATACATAACTTCAACTGCTCTTTGTTTAGGGGGACAGCGATGGCGGCGCCGGCGGGACTCACGTGCTTGAAAGAAGTGGCCGCCGGCAGACCCAACGCCTTCTTCAAGTCCCTCACGAGTTGGTAGGCGTTGAGAGCATCGCATAGATTGATAAAACCGGGCGAACCGTTCACTACAGTTAGCGGCAACTTGTCTTCAAAGGTGTAGAGTTGTGCCGGTTTTTGGTGCGGATTCATACCATACCGGAGCGACAGTTGGGATACGTTTCCGTTATACTGAGCCCTGAAATAGTTAGAAATGGCAGAATCATAGAGAGCCGTGTGATTGAACGCTTTGACCGCCAATCGCTTTCTGGTCGCTTCGGACACCTCTTTGTTTGCCACCAATTCTTTGACCACAATATCGTAATCCTTTGGATCGCAAATCACTGTAACTCTGGCGTGATTTTTGGCGGCGGCTCTCAATAGAGTGACGCCTCCGATGTCCACCTGTTCCACGGCGTCGGCGATATTCACGTTCGCGGCGCTAATCGTCTCAACGAATGGATACAAATTGCAGACAACGAGATTCACGTAACGAAAGTTTTGTCGCTTCATGTCCTGCAGGTCTGAATCGGTCTTTCGGGCGAGAATACCGGCGTGAATGGCCGGATGCAATGTCTTCACTCTCCCGCCCAACATCTCCGGAGCGCCGGTAATGTCCGACACGTCGTCGACCGGAATTCCCGCATCTCTGACCAGTTTGGCGGTCCCACCGCTGGCCACGAGCTTCAGACCGACTCCATTCAGTTTCTTCGCGAAGTCAAGTAAACCGGTTTTGTTGGAAACGCTTAAAACGGCTTTATTTCGGACCAAACAAACAGTTTTATTTCGGTTTAGAATTTATCTCTCAATATATCATTCAATTAATTCAAGAATTAATGAAATAAACATTTATGTAATTTTTATCTATTTTGTCATCAAATTCAAGGTTATATTCGTTATCAATAAGAAATCCTACTGTTTTCAGACATCACATTCATATATAAAATTTACAATTTAGAGATTTAAATGCTTTATAATTTTAACTTAATTTAAATTATAAGTTTAAAACAATCAATAAAATTGCGCTAACGATAAAAATATTTTTGCATATTTTAAATATTTTAACCTTATTTAAATTAATAAATAATTAAAAATAAATTAACTATTAGTTACAAAAGTAATTGATATATAATGCAAAATAAGAAACAAATGTAATAATTACCTAATTCTCCCGTTAATGCCATAATTGAATGTTTTGCAGAAATTGAAATCAAATCAATTGAAAGCAAAAGAAGTGTCGGAAAGGAATGTATTCGAGGAATGGATACGAGTTTTATAAACTTTTAATCGCTTTTAGTCTACGCTTGTTTGTCAGGTCTGAACCATTTGATTGGTCTTTCCCTAACAGCGATCAGTCCTTGAATTTAAAAATTATAAACATGTTTAAAGTCAATGTTATTTGAAATCTTAAGTTTTAAAAGATCACATAATTTACTGTATTTTTACTTTAAGAAAATATATTTACTTGTGATTGATTGGACTATTCGTACATCAGTTCACCAAAAAATACATCGTTTACTTCGCTATCATTTCTTGAAATTACTGTTTATTCAAGATATTTGATAGCATTTACCAAACTATTGAATGGCATATAATTTTTGAGTACATGTTTTGCCAATTCCTGATAAATATTGCTTTAATTTTAAAGTTGATTACATTTTTTTGGTAATTATCGTCAAACATCTCTCAATTTGACGGCACCTCTCAATAGCAATATTTATATACTTTTACACATATTTATTATTCTATACTCGTCTCTAAGAATCGTGTGTTTTATAATGATTTGCAAAATGTGATGAAAATTCTTACTATTATTTCAAACTTATAGGAATTATTGGAAGACTTGTACAATACTGTACTTTAAATTAATCAGGCCTTTAAGCAAATTAAGTGTAAACGTTTAATAAGTGAAAATATTTGAAAGCATTATAAGTAAAGCATTGACTTTTAGGTGACAAAAACCAGCCTTAAAGTCACTATAAAAGTTACTTAAAAATGGCTAAAAAGGTGCTTAAAAGGTGCTAAAAAGGTGATAAAAAGTTATGAAAAAGTTAGTTATTTTGCATCAAAATAATTCATTCAAAGATCAATAACATTTGTTTTTGAATTCAATTGTATCACAAAGTATATTGTGAGGTTTTCTGTTTCAAAAGTCATTCGTCTGTCGTTTAACAACTGTTTATGAGTCGAAAAACGTTTAATGACTAAAAACCATAGCCTGTTATGACTAAAAACTATGACTTAAAAATTTTAATATTACATTACACTTGTTTTCAATTTTGACTAATTGAGTATTTTGTGATTTATCAATTTATAACGTATAAAATTTGCAAAATAGGCGAAAAGTTACTTAAAAGTTACTAAAGGTGCTAACGTCCCAAAAGGTGCTAAAAAGGTGAAATAAAAATCTTCCAAAATACTCCTAAGGTGGTATATGGTGTGCCCCNCAGTATTGTACAAGTCTTCCAATAATTCCTATAAGTTTGAAATAATAGTAAGAATTTTCATCACATTTTGCAAATCATTATAAAACACACGATTCTTAGAGACGAGTATAGAATAATAAATATGTGTAAAAGTATATAAATATTGCTATTGAGAGGTGCCGTCAAATTGAGAGATGTTTGACGATAATTACCAAAAATGTAATCAACTTTAAAATTAAAGCAATATTTATCAGGAATTGGCAAAACATGTACTCAGAAATTATATGCCATTCAATAGTTTGGTAAATGCTATCAAATATCTTGAATAAACAGTAATTTCAAGAAATGATAGCGAAGTAAACGATGTATTTTTTGGTGAACTGATGTACGAATAGTCCAATCAATCACAAGTAAATATATTTTCTTAAAGTAAAAATACAGTAAATTATGTGATCTTTTAAAACTTAAGATTTCAAATAACATTGACTTTAAACATGTTTATAATTTTTAAATTCAAGGACTGATTGCTGTTAGGGAAAGACCAATCAAATGGTTCAGACCTGACAAACAAGTGTAGACTAAAAGCGATTAAAAGTTTATAAAACTCGTATCCATTCCTCGGATACATTCCTTTCCGACACTTCTTTTGCTTTCAATTGATTTGATTTCAATTTCTGCAAAACATTGAATTATGGCATTAACGGGAGAATTAGGTAATTGTTACATTTGTTTCTCATTTTGCATTATATATCAATTACTTATATAACTAATAGTTAATTTATTTTTAATTATTTATTAATTTAAATAAGGTTAAAATATTTAAAAATATGCAAAAATATTTTATCTTTAACGCAATTTTATTGATTGTTTTAAACATATAATTTAAATTAAGTTAATATTATTCATTAATAATCATAATATTAATAAAGCATTTAAATCTCTAAATTGTAAATGTTATATATGAATGTTATGTCTAAGAACTGCAGGATGTCTTATTGATAGTGAATATAGCCTTGAATTTGATGACAAAATAGATAAGAATTACATAAATGTTTATTTCATTAATTCTTGAATTAATTGAATGATATATTGAGAGATAAATTTCTAAAACGAAATAAAACTGTTTGTTTGGTCCGAAATAAAGCCGTTTTAAGCGTTTCCAACAAAACCGGTTTACTTGACTTCGCGAAGAAACTGAATGGAGTCGGTCTGAAGCTCGTGGCCAGCGGTGGGACCG